CTCGAACCCGCGGGCTTAGGCAATCCACTCGCCTCAGCCTCCCAAAGGCGTGGGATTACAGGCTGAGCCACCAGACCCAGCTCATAAAATCTTTAAAAAAATTTGTCAGGCATGATGACTTATTTGTGCCTCTAGTCCCAGCTACTCAGAAGGCCAAGGCAGAAGGATCACCTGAGCCCAGGATATAGAGACTGTAGTGAGCCATGATTGTGCCACTGCACCAGCCTGGGCGATACTTGAACTCAAAAAAAAAAAAAGAAAAAAGAAAAAGAATAGTCTCTGACACAAAGTAGGTCCTCATAAAATGAGAGCCCTTTTTCCCCTTAGAATCTTTTGACATAATTTAATTTGGCAAATATTTATTCGTGTCTAATCTGTATTAGAATCTGCTGAAGACACTGAAGAGATAAAAACCAAAACAAAATAAAACCCATAATCTCTGGATTCAGAAAGTTGCATGGTGTAGAAGAGAGACTGACATATATGTGAATAAGAACAGAAATTGCTAAGTGCGATAGAGGTATATAGACAGTGCTAGAAGCAATTAATTCTTTTTTCAGCCCTACCAGTGGAGTGGTTTCCAAGTATTTCTCTTGGAAAAACACTTGGCAGTCAAGATGGGGGACAAATAGAAAGAGAAAGAAAGAAAGAAAGAAAGCCAAACAACAACTGTTAAAGGATTCTGTAGTCTTTGCAGTGCCAACCTTTTAAGAGTTAATTTCAGCAAGGCACTTGATGGAATCTCTCATGAAGTTCTTGTACTCAGGATGGAGAAGTGTGGGCCGGCTGAGAGACTGGGAAGTGGACTGGAAGCCTGCTCTGCAACTGTGGCCTGGGTGTTTTTCCCCTGCAGTCCTTCAGTTTGACTTGTAAAATCTCTGGTTTGGAAGGAACGTTAGAAATGACCCTTCCGCCGGCTCGGTGGCTCAGCCTGTAAATCCCGCGCCTTTGGGAGGCTGAGGTGAGTGGATTGCCTGAGCCCACGGGTTCGAGACCCGCCTGGGCAGCGAGACTTCCTCTCTACAATAAAAAAAACAAACAAAAAAAATCAGCCGGGCATGGTAGCACATGCCTGTAATTCTGGCTACTTGGAAGGCTGAGGCAGAAGGATCGCTGGAACCCAGTGGGTCGAGGCTGCGGTGGCTGGGAGCGGCCACTGCACTCCAGTCTGGGCGACAGAGTGAGACTCCAACTCAAAAAAAAAAAAAAAAAAAGAAAGAAATAGACCCTTCATGTTAACCAGTGCCTCACACTTTGTATGATCTGATCTTTTCTTAAACCCTTCCAATTTTTAAATTCACATTACCGAAAAGTATACAGTGAAAAATACGCCTCCTTCCTCTTCCAGTCCCCAAGCATCCCTGTCACTCCCCACAGAGACACACACAGTTATTAGTTGCTTGTGTGTCTGACCTTATTTTATTCTGCGTCTCTTTAAGCCTTGTGTTATCATTACTTGAGTGCATGTGCTGTTGTCTTGTTAGTAAACTGTAATCTCTTTAGGAGTAAGGACGCTGCCTCATGCTTTCCTCAGTCTCCCCAAATTACTCACACATTAACTGTTCCCAATAATATTTGCTTGATTATTTAAAGGACAGTTGTACCATGGAGAAGACAGGCTTCTCTGATGAAGACATGCTACTTTTGTCCTTGACCATACATGCTTTACAGCCATTTTTCCCTAGTGACTTGGATGAAGATGGAGAAAGCATGCTTGTCATATATGCAGATGACACAGAGCTGGAAAAGAGAGCTGATAATATCAGATGACAGAGTCAGTCAAACTGTAGCTGATCTCAACACATTGAAATGTTCAGTGGAAAAGAACAGGAGCAAATATGAAGTCCTGCATTTAAGGGGAGAAAAAATGCCCAACAACTTAATTATACAAGTGCAGAATTAAGAGAACTGTCTTAATAACATTTTATCTGAGGATAATTTGGGAGGGTAGGGGATGGATCTTAGTTGCCTTTAAGTTTAATTGAAGTCAGCAGCGTACCAGGGTGGTCAGTAAAGCAAACACTGCCTTGACTGAGTTAGTAGAATATGAGTCCATATGGAGAGCTGGTGGTTCATTGTTCTCTTTAGTGGTCAGGCTGCGTGCTGAGCATTGGGCTTGGTTTATTGAGGAGAATTGGCAAGTTGGAGCATTCAGGAGAGGTTAAGTAGGAAGAACATGAATATGGGAATCCGATCTAGGTTCTGTCCTGGGTTTCACTCCTACCAGTCGTGATGGCTTGGTGAAGTCAGTCCCTCTCCGTTTGTCTCCGTACCGCTAAAATGGGGGACAAGTAATAATGCCAACCTGGAGGACCATTAGAAGGATTAGAGCTAGCTTCGGCATTCAGAGGTTCTGCAGCCCAAGTCTGTCTTCTTTTTTTGTGTTTTTTGAATTGGAGTCTCACTCAGTTGCCCAGACTGGAGTGCAGTAGCCACTCCCGGCCACCGCAGCCTCGACCTGCTGGGCTCCGGCGATCCTTTCACCTCAGCCTTCCAAGTAGCCGGAACTACAGGCTTGCACTACCACACCCGGCTGATTTTTTGACTTATTGTAGAGATGAGGTCTCACCTGCCCAGGCGGGTCTCGAACCCGCGGGCTCAGGCCATCCACTCACCTCAGCCTCCCAAAGCGCTGGGATTACGGGCTGAGCCACCGAGCCCGGCTGGCAGGCACGTTCTTTCACATGCCCCCAGTAAATGCAGATGGAGCCAGGCTGCTTGTGTAGCAACAGAACGGGTTTCCTTAGGAGATGGTAAATTTTCCTCATAAAAGGATGCAGTCAAGTTGAGACCATGTGGTTACTTGTTAGAAAGGGTTGTAGAAGGCATTTGTCCGCGAGGAGGAGGTGGGACTAGAGGGTGAGGCAAGCTGTGGGCAGCCACAGGCCAAATCTAGCTGGACGTCTATTATTGTAAATAAAATTTTATTGGACCACGGCTATACCCATTTGTTTATGTATTGTCTGTGTCTGCTCTTGTACAATGCAGAGGTGAATAGTTGTGACAGAGGCTGTGGGGCCTGCCGAACCTAAAATGTTTACCGTCCATCCCCACAGAAAAGTTTCTTGAGACCTAGAGTAGATAAATGCTTCACAACCTAACCCTTTGCACTCGGATGTCCCCTCTCAGGGAACATAAAGAGATTGCTAGTGATTATACAGGACAAACTTAAGCAAGGGCATATTTTTCAAAAATGTATGCTTCCTTAAAGTTTTCCATTCAAATTGCATGAAAAAGCAATAAAGAGATGGAATATATACTGAGATTTGATTGATCAGTTGAAAAGTGGTTTTCAGGAATCACAAGTGCATCCTTCCACATCTTCTTCCAACAACAGACTGGACAATAAATTACATATTGTTAGCGTGGGAGGAAGAAAATGACACTGCATTGTCTGCTCGAATAGAAAGCACCAGGTGGAAGATGTCAAACAAATTACTGTTGCACAAACACGTATCAATGAATCTGCAATGCATGTTGCTGACTATTTCACATGTTAGAAAAATATAGCCGGGCTTGGTGGCTCAGCCTGTAATCCCGCGCCTTTGGGAGGCTGAGGTGAGTGGATTGCCTGAGCCCGCGGGTTCGGGACCCGCCTGGGCAGCGAGACCTCATCTCTACAATAAATAAAAAAATCAGCCGGGCGTGGTAGCACATGCCTGTAATTCTGGCTACTTGGAAGGCTAGGTGGAAGGATCACCGGAGCCCAGTGGGTCAAGGCTGCGGTGGCCGGGAGCGGCCACTGCACTCCAGTCTGGGCAACAGAGTGAGACTCCAACTCAAAAAAAAAAAAAGAAAAGAAAAATATAATATGTAAAATTTTGATTTTTGTCATAAATAAGTTCCTCAATGTTTAAAATTCCATCACAGGCCAAATATCATTACAATAAAATAATTGGTTCCAATGCTATACTGTTTAATATGAAGTTATTTGTTTTTCACTATTTCGTAAAAAGTGTGGTTGAGTTGCTGCTTGGTGACCTGCGAGATGTCTCCGAGTGCCAAGGGTTAAGTTACTGGTAACCTTTCTAAATTCTCGTTGTGGTGATTTCAGGTGTTAAGAGGAAGAAAGGCAGGCAGAGTTTGAAGCGAAATGGTTGTAGTTTTTCTTGCTGTTGCAAGGAAGGAAGACTGAAAAACTCTTGATTAAGTAGCCTCCAAGGTCCTTTAAGTTTTATAAACAGACATCATCTGGCATGAGACAAAGTATTTGTATATCATCTGGGCTGAAGCCATCTATGCCTGCTAGAATTGGGAGATGGTCCTAGTGTAGTGGGAAAAGAACAGCTGCGTTAACTGTTCTGAGCTGCAGTTTCCTCATTTGTGAATGGAACACTCTGCAGGTTTTGTAAAGACCGGAGCTTATGCAGGCGCTGCGATGTAGTCATTGTTTCGCATTTCATAGCGTGACCTCATCGGAGTATGAGACCAGGTGGAATTTTGGTTGGAAAGATAAATCCCTCCCTTGGGTCCTGCAGGTTAGGGTAGTAAACAGAAACCTTTCTTGCATGGCCTAGATTTTAAGATCTCATGGCTTAGCAAGCAGGGGACTATCTTGTGGCTGATGATTTTGGTACCAGTGTTAACAGTTGTTGTTCTCAATACTAGCTAGAAAGGTTGAGGCTTCTCAAACTGTGCTTCTCCCTGTGGGTAGGGTTTCCGTTGTGCTTCTTCCTAGGCATTTTGTCTTTTATATTCAGAATCTGTTGCCAGCTAACTATATATATTTGTTATCGTTGTTGCTGAAAGTATTGACTCGGAGACAAAAAGAGGCCAGGAGCAAGAGCAACAGTGGGACAGCTGCCCAGACTTCCCCAGACCTTGACAGGTAAGTAGATGTGCTGCGTTCACGAAACTCTTGTTTAACGGACCATTGCTTGGGCTGAATAAAGAGACCAGTCCCTGCCGTACCCTCCGTTTCTCGGCCTGCCAATCCCCTCATTGCTTGGATGCTTGAATTACTTTTTCTTTCTTCCCAGTTTCTGTCAGTGTAGGTGACTTCTGTGCCCCTTTTCAGTACACTAAAAACAATTCTGCCACCCACTCCAGGCTTTCTGTTTTCGTTAACTTGCATATCAGGGTTTGGTGCTTTCTGGCAACAGTGACCACTTTGCCTTGTGCTAATGCAGAAGTTGCCTTGCACAAGGTTTGGCAACACAGAAGAGCTTCTTGAGTTGTGGCTGAGAAGACTCCCTCTGAGGAAGGGCTCAGGTGCAGGTGCTGCCTCGTGAAAGGAAAGACCTTGCCAGCAGCACATTCGAGCCATTAGGCACTAGGCAGAGACTTGTACCTTTGGAACACAGATCTTAGACCCTGGATTCCAGAGTTGCTTCCCCTAATCCAATTGGGCAGAGCAGAAACTTTTTCCTTTGGAGTCATACTATAATGTAGACATCCCTCTTGGACTGAATTCCTCATATTCTCGTGCAGTAATTTCTTTCCCCCACACTTCTGTGTCCCTGGCTAGGCTGTGAGTTATTTGAAGGCAGATACTTGCCTTCATTCATGTTTATATCCCCAGCATCTAATACAATGTGTCTGAGGCAGCAATCACATTAATGACTGTTTGTTAGCGCTAGTCATTGTGCCAGGTGCTTTATTTACTTGATAACTCTCACAATAGTTGATAAGGTAGTTATTCTTTTAAAAATGCATAAATAAGCTGAAGATAAATTATGTGTAATTGGCTAAGATCATGTGACCGGAAGTGGCAAAGTCTACCTGATGTTGAAACTCCTGCCTGTTTCACAGTGCTGCTGCCTCTCATGTAGTAGGGAATTACTAAATGCTTTTTGCATTAATTGAGAAACCTTGAACGGTAGACTGGTCTAGCTTTTCTCATAAGGCAGGATTTTGCTTGCGTTCTTCCAGATACTTTTAAGTGCTCACGAGACTTATGTCTGCTATTTTAAAGATCTCCAGAAAAATTCTTCTCAAGACTTAATTCAAGTCTCTCTTGCTGGAGTTACCGAATAGTAATAATAGCCAGAAAGAGAAGTCTCAGATGGCATGCTTTGGAAAGGTTTCTTCAGCTTTTTAAAACTAAGATGATCTTACAAGTAAGGCAGATGGGGCTTCTGACAATTGCTAGCTATAGGACCTTGGGGGAGAATGGCTCCTCCGTTATGGGACTGAAGGATTAATTGAGAAACTGAGCTGAAAGGGCCTTGCACAGGTTCCTACCGCAGAGAAAACATTTAATAGATGTTTGGTTTCTTTTCTTTTCCCCCAACTATTCCATTTTTACTGATACTCAATAAATTTTATCTCAAGGACATACTTTCCCCTCTTTCCCCAAACTCTACTCTTACAAAAAGATAAAAATAACTGTGTGTATAAAATTATGCAACAGCCTCTGGCAGAACCACTTGGTTTTAGTAACTTCCTAGATGATGTTGCAGGTTATAGAATTAAGGAAGTTGGCATATAGACAGACTTGATTTACTAATCAGACAAGTTCATCCACCCCGGTAAAAATGTCAACTTGATTTAATGTTCCTGGTGTTCCCTTTTTTGTCGAAATTTTAACTTCTCTTTGAAAAAACGATCACACTTAATTTCAGAAGAGTTTGACAGGGTGTTTTATGTGTGAAGAGCAATCAGCATTGTTTGAGATAGTCTGAAGAGCTGATTTCATTACCATCCCATTGCTGCAACAGCAGGGCATGGAGAAACAGCCAGGGAAAACAGCTAATCACTCAGTCCTGGTGATTGGCGGCGGCTTAGCTTTATTGGTGATCCCGCTGAGTGAATCTGCGCCAGATGACATGTCTCCTCCACAGAATAACTTCGAGACGTAAAAACACGATTTCAGACGTATCCAGGAGTCCCGAGGCAAAAGCAAATCTGAAAACTGTTTTCTCCCTTTTTTCTGATTGGCTAGGAATGAGAAGTGTTATCTCTGCAAATCCCTGGTCCCATTCAGAGAGTACCAGCGTCATGTGGATTCCTGTCTCCAGCTTGCAAAGGACGACAGAGGAGATGGGCCATGTCCCAACGTGGGCCGCAAGCGGCCACAGAGGCTGCGGCACCCAAAGGTGTGGGGGGGTTGGGAAAGGCCGCCAGCCCTTCTGATTCTCAGTTGTCAGAGGCCACCGTTCTGTTGTGCTGAGCTCCTTGCCCTCTGCCCCCTCCCCTCTTCCTTCCTGTTTCTCTTGAAGTGAGATTTGTGCTTTTTCTTTTTTCTTTTTGAGTTGGAGTCTCACTCAGTGGGTTGCCCAGGCTGGACTGCAGGAGCCTCACTGCAGCCTCAGACTCCTGGGCTCAAACAGTCCTCCCACCTCAGCCTCCTGAGTACTTGGGACCTTAGGCATGCACTACCATACCTGACTAATTATTTTTCATAGAGATTAGGTCTCACTGTGTTGCCTAGGCTGGTCTTGAACTCCTGGACTCAAGCAGTCTTCCTGCCTCGGCCTCCCAAAGTGCTGGGATTACAGGTATGAGCCACCACACCCAGTCAAGGGATTTGTGCCTTTAAAAATTATTTTTTCTTTTAATTTAGAAAGTCATGCATGTTCATTGTGGAAAATATGGAAAGTTCAAAAAACTTTAAAGATTCCGGAGGAATCATCACCCATAACTTCAGCTACTAAAAGATAACAGCTTTTAACATTTTGACCTGTTTTCTTCTGATTTTTTTTTTTTTTTTTGAGTTGGAATCTCACTCTCACCCAGGCTGGGTGCAGTGGCACACGCACGGCTATCCCAGTGTTGACCTGCTGGGCACCAGTGATCTTCCCGCCTCAGCCTTCCAAGTAGCCGGAACTTCAGGTGTATGCCACCGGGCCTGGCTACGTTTTTATTTATTGCAGAGACGGGGTCTCACCAAGTTGCCCAGGCTGGTCTGGACTCGCGAACTCAGGCAATCCACTTGCTGTGGCCTCCCAAAGTGCTGGGATTACAGGCCAAGCCACCGAGCCCAGCCTGATCTTTTATTTCAATTTTTAATCTTTTTTTTTAAATTGGAATCTTACTGTGTCGCCTAAGCTGGAGTGAGTGGCAAGCTATTGTAGCTTTGACCTGCTGGGCTCAGGTGATCATTCTGCTTCAGCCTTCCAAGTAGCTGGGACTATGGGTATGTACCACCACTCTTGGCTAATTTTTTTGATTTATTGTAGAGACAAGGTCTTGCCATGTTGCCCAGGCTGGTCTTGAACTCCTGGGCTCAGGCAGTCCTTTTGCCTCAGCCTTCCAAAGTGCTGGGATTACAAACCTGTGCTGCCACACCCTGCTCCTCAATGTATTTTTAATATAATTGAAACGATTCTCCATCTTCCTTCCTTCCTTCCTTCCTTCCTTCTCTCTCTCTCTCTTTCTCCCTCTCCCTCCCTCCCTCCCCCCCATGCACACACACAATACAACAATACATACTAAATATTTTATTATATGTGGTTTATCTTGGACTTATAAAAACTTAGGGTGTAGCATTAACACCATTCTGAATTTTATTTTTAAAAGTTACTGTTTAGCCAGGCTCGGTGGCTCAGCCTGTAATCCCACACTTTGGGAGGCCGAGGTGAGTGAATT